TTTCTTTCTTTCTTTCTTTCTTTCTTTCTTTCTTTCTTTCTTTCTTTCTTTCTTTCATTTTTTTTAAAACAGGAAGAAATAACATTTAATTTCATATGTATGGGAGATGCATGAAGACATGAAATTCCTTAGGTAGAATTCTTTATTTACCCTGTGTGTGTATTTGGTCTTTGTCTAGAGAGAATCGTCATTCAGGAGGAAATAATCCAGGAAAAGGAAGAACAAGCAGATCAAGATGTGTAGCTCTGTGGCGGCCAAGTTGTGGTTTTTGACCGATCGTCGAATCAGGGAAGACTATCCCCAAAAAGAGATTTTACGAGCATTAAAGGCCAAATGTTGTGAGGAGGAACTGGACTTCAGGGCTGTGGTGATGGATGAAGTAGTACTGACAATCGAGCAAGGAAACTTGGGTAAGTCTATACTAAATAATTTTATGGATTTTTTTTCTTAGAATATGTTGAATCCACATTTTCTAGGAATAATTTGGATGAAGGAATTGTTAATAGCTTTACATTACAATCATCTGATCTTAAAATGTAGCATATTTTATGGAAGAAATGGAAACCCCGGAATTAATTGAACCTCTTATGTTATTTTTATTATAATGTTTATTTTTGAGAGAGAGACACACATGCACAGAGCGTGAGTGAGGGAGGGGTAGAGAGCGAGGGAAACACAGAATCCGAAGCAGGCTCTAGGCTCTGAGCTGTCAGCACAGAGCCCGACGCGGGGCTCGAACTCACGAACTGTGAGATCATGACTGGAGCCAAAGTCCATGACCTGAGCTGAAGATGGACGCAAAACCGACTGAGCCACTCAGGTGACCTGAATCTCTTAAGATATTATTTAGGAAATAGTTGGGAGAGAAATTAAAGAAAATCTACTTGTTTTTCCCCATTATTACTGTTCTAATTTTAAAGGTGCCCCTGAGAGAACTTGTACTTCATGGGATAATTCAGTAATGAATTTAGTAAATTCATCAAATTCCACATGTGATTCTTATTTTCTTTTTTTCTAAAAACTTCAGAATATTGACTACTTTTTAAAAAATGTTTATTTCTTTATTTTGAAAGAGAGAGAGAAGGAGAATGTGAGTAGGGGAGGGGCAGAGAGGAGAGAATCCCAAGCAGGCTCCATGTTGCCACCGCAGAGACCAACGCTAGGCTCGGTGTCTCACAAACCGTGAAATTATGACCTGAGCTGAAATCAAGACTTGGATGCCCAACCGATTGAGCCGCCCAGGCATTCCTTTTCTTTCTTTATAAAATATTTTATACATATAGTGTATAATATACCGTTTGTTTCTCTTCACTGGATAAAAGTGTCTGAATAATTTGACTCAGTTGGTGCTAAGTCTAGTATTTCTAATTCTGTATTTCATATTTGTTTTAGGGTTACAAGAGGACATCTTAGAAACAGAATTCTTTAGGACTGACTTAGGAATCTTTACGTCTTTACTCTGGAAAGTTATGACTTGTAGGTCATTTCTGTTAGGGAGCATTATATGGTGGCATATACGTGCCATTTTGGATTAACTTTTAGAAGACTAGACATAGTTTAGTGATAGTATTCAGTAAAGATATGAGACAAACACTTAAAACAGATTCTATGTTACTTAACTTGCTTCGAGACTATAATCATAATGAGAACATGTGTTTTCATCAAAAAAATGGGGGGAGGTGGTTATTGTGAGAACTAATAATATACAGAATATAAATCTGCTATTAGGGTAATTTCATTTGTAGGCTAGTTAATAGATTCCAGAGTCTTGCCTGATGAATAACATGATACTGTAGATTTAAGTAGGTAAAATCTCTTAGCAAACAGTTGCTCTTTACTCTCTGTCCTTTAACATTTATTCCATTCACTTTACCTTTTTACAGTTATTGTTGCTTTGGAAATAACTTCTTTAGAACTGAACTGTTTCCAGATTGTTTCACTGGAGTGTTTTAGTTACTACCTTTATAAGAAAGATGCACATTATTTTATTTTTGGTCAAATTTTCTTTTTTTTAAATGTATATACATAGGTCCAACACTTATTCAGATTCTGGATTTGGGATAGAGCCTGTTTCATTCTTTCATAAATATAATTTGAGCACTTACTATGTGCTAATTAATTGGTATGGTATGCAAAATGAGACATAGTCCCTATATTCTAAAGGCCAAGATTAACATTAACATCAATCAAGTGATCACACATATTAGTGTAAAATCATTATAACTTTGGTAAATTATAAAAGGAATGGATATCAGTTTGCACCCCCCTGCCCTCTAGCTAGCTATGACAGATACATCCTGAACAAATCCGGGCAAATCTTTTCTTTAAAATTCAGAATCTATCACATGCTTTTATTTTTTTTTTTAAATTTTTTTTTTCAACGTTTATTTATTTTTTTGGGGACAGAGAGAGACAGAGCATGAACAGGGGAGGGGCAGAGAGAGAGGGAGACACAGAATCGGAAACAGGCTCCAGGCTCCGAGCCATCAGCCCAGAGCCCGACGCGGGGCTCGAACTCACGGACCGCGAGATCGTGACCTGGCTGAAGTCGGACGCTTAACCGACTGCGCCACCCAGGCGCCCCATATCACATGCTTTTATAACTTGCAGGTTTTTCAACAAAATTGCATATACAATTGTTGAAATTGGAGTCAGAAATCTGGACAGAGTATTGTGTTAGGAGCCATGCTCTTGAAGTATGTGTGAGAAGGCCAGTGTACATAGGTCACTAAACACATAAACTGCAGGCTTATGGTGTATGTCTCTGTTTTAAAGTTGGAAAACCAAAGGCTGCCTTTCCAACAGTCCTCTGAAGTCAGGGTTTCTTATTAGACCAAGCTTCTGTCACATAGACCTATTACTACAAGATGTGGGAAATGCAAATGGACATCTCTGTTCTAATACCTTCCATAGGTTGAAAAATCTCTAAGATTGGGGTACCTGGGTGGCTTGGTCCATTGAGCGTCCGACTTTGGCTCGGGTCATGATCTCACGGTTCATGAGTTCAAGCCCTTCGTCAGGCTCTGGTTTGACAGCTCAGAGCCTGGAGCCTGCATCAGATTCTGTGTCTCCCTCGCTGTCTGCCCCTCCCCTGCTCACACTCTGTCTCTCTTTGTCTCTCTCTACCTCAAAAATAAATAAACATTAAAATTTAAAAAAAAAATCTAAGATTGAAAACCATTGTTCTTCGTTTTTTGTTTCCTACTGGACACTCTTTGTTCTCAACTGTCACTTCAGGCCAGTAGGACAAGATTGAACTCACTTCTTCCCCATGAGGCTATCTTATTTCAGCCTTTTGGTTTGTATTTTGTCCTTTGCCCTGGTATTACCGTTAACATATCTTTTGTTTTAAACATGTAGTTTTTAAGTTTATTTACTTATATTTAGAGTAGGTATTTGAATAGAGATGTCCATTGCATTTGCCACATCTTGTAGTAAGAGGTCTGTGAGAAGGGCGTAAGTGAGAGCAAGAGAGGAGCAGAGATAGGGGAGAGAATCCCAAGCAGACTCTGCCCTGTCAGTGCAGAGTTTAATGCAGGGCTCTATCCCACAAACCAAGAGTAGGACACTTAACTGACTCAGCCACATGTGTGCTTTTCTGTTTTATTCTTAAGAGCCATTTCTGCCACAAAATTTTCTTGCTTTTTCCTTCTAAATGACAATTGTTCTGCTTTTCAGTATCCTAAGTCAAGCTGTTAATGGCCCCAAGTTTAAACGACTGCAACATTCCTATAGCCTATAGCTCGTTATCTTTCACTACAGTGTTTCCTCTCTAGCTCTTTCTCATTCATTAAACACCAGTTTTATCATCTTTCTAAAAACCTTCAGAAACCCTATTTCCAAGCACTGTTCAATCTATTTTATTTTTAAGGCTTATTTAAAAAAAAATAAATGAGTGGGGGGAGGGGCACAGAGAGAGACACACACAGAATCCCAAGCAGGCTCCAGGCTCTGAGCTGTCAGTACAGAGCCTGACGTGGAGCTCGAACCCACGAACCATGAGATCATGACCTGAGCTGAGGTCAGATGCTTAAGCAACTGAACTATCCAGGTGCTCCAGGGCTTTTTATTTTTTATTTGTATTATTTACTTATTTTTAAAATTAATGTATTTATTTTGGGGGGGGGGAGGGAGAGAGAGCACGCGAGAGGGAGCAGGAGGGGCAGAGTGAGGGAGACAGAGGATCCGGAGAGGGCTCCTCACTGACAGCAGAGAGCCCAATGTGGGGCTCAAACTCATGAATGTGAGGTCATGACTTGAGCCAGTTTACTAAGCATACTTTTCCATGTCCACTGTTTACAGCATAAATGTTACCACATGCGCAACAATAAGACCCAGCTTCACAGCCGGTAGGATGCTCTAATGAAAAAGAGACAACATGTGTTGGCAAGAACATAGAGAAATTGGGGGGCGCCTGGGTGGCGCAGTCGGTTAAGCAGCCGACTTCAGCCAGGTCACGATCTCGCGGTCCGCGAGTTCGAGCCCCGCGTCGGGCTCTGGCCTGATGGGTCAGAGCCTGGAGCCTGTTTCCGATTCTGTGTCTCCCTCTCTCTCTGCCCCTCCCCCGTTCATGCTCTGTCTCTCTCTGTCCCAAAAATAAATAAACGTTGAAAAAAAAATTAAAACAAAAAAAGAATATAGAGAAATTGGAATTCTCCTGCATTGCTAATGGGAATGTAAAATGGTGCAGTCCCTTTGGAAAACAGTTTGGCAGTTTCTCTAAAGGTTAAACATACAGCTACCATAGGATCCATCCCACTCCTGCATGGAATGACAACATATGTTTGGAAGAATTCACCAGTGAAAACATCTGGTTCTGAGCTTTTCCTTGTTCGGAGACTTTGGATTACTGATTTAATAGGTCTGTTCAGATTTTTTATTTCTCAGTGATTCAATTTTAGTAGGTTGTAGGTTTCTAGGAATTTATTCATTTTTTCTAGGTTATCCAATTTGTTGGTGTGTAATTGTTCATAGTTGTCTTATGATTACTTTTATTTTTTTGGTGCCCATTGTAACATTTTCTTTCATTTCTGATTTCTTATTTAAGTCTCTTTCTTTCCCTTTTTAGTCTAGCAAAGGGTTTGTTAATTTATTAATCTTTCCAAAAATCCAAGTTAGTTTTGTTGATTTTTATTTTATTTTTCTCTTTTTTAAAATTTTGGTTATTTGTGTTCTAATTTATTTTTTTAGTTAATTTTTTCTTGAAAGAGAATGCAAACGGGGCGGGGGGGAGAGAGAGAGAGAGAAAATTCCAAGCACTCACAGCGCAAAGCCTGATGTGGGGTTCGATCTCACAACTGTGAGATTATGATCTGAGCTGAAATCAAGTGTCAGATGCTTAGCTGACTGAGCCCCCCAGGCACCCCAGATATTTTCCTTCTTTCTTAATGTGCATGTTTATACCTGTACA